AAATTTGTATCCGCACACGCATACATACACGCGCACACACACACACACATACACACACACACACACATACATCCATTTTTTCTAAGGTATGCCAAAATATTCAGAAACATCTGAAACGTAAAGATATATAAAAATTTTCATTTTCGATTTTTTTGCCATTACTATAACTTACCCTACGGGAAGTTAATTATTCTTTTATAAAATATTGCTGTTGTACATGATATAGTTTCACGTGATTCGCTATTTAAAACTATGTATTATATTCGCTATTTAACTATTATGGTTTTGTTATACATATACACATATTTTGTTGATATAAATAGCTATGAATATCATAATTGTTTTAATTTGGTTGATTCAGCATTATCATCATATATATATATATATATATATATATATATATATATATATACATATATATATATGTGTGTGTGTGTGTGTGTGTGTGTGTCTGAATGTGATATGTGTGGCCTAACTTATTCTTCACTTCACGGCGCCACAAAGTATAAAGAATTTCAAAAAACTTTAATTTATGTGATTCTAGTTAGGAAGCTACTCGGTTTCATTGTTGAAATATATGAGTGAGTTCTTGAGGGCGATAAGGCAAAGATTTATAAAATAATCTTTAATTCCAAACGTTTCGACATTCAATTTAATGTCATCATCAGTGGATCTAAAAACAGTATAAAAATTAATATAACTAGGTAATTATAAAATATGCGGATTAGTATAGAACTATAATATATATATATATATATATATATATATATATATATATTAACAAAGTCTAATAATCGGGCATAACATCAATAAAAAACATGAATTTCTTTCAAAAATTTATTTTAAATCCATACGTTTCGGCTATAATCCTAGCCTTCATTCAGTGGAAACTAAAAATAAAATTAAAAACTAAAACAATTGAATTGGAGTGAAAAGAAAAAAATAAAATAGTAATTAGTACTTACAATTAGTTGATCTTAGTGTTAAATTGGAAAATTTTAATAATCCATGGTATTAGGATATGGTAATGCACTACATTATGTATTATAAACATTAACTTGAAATTACACAATATTTTCACAAAATACTGATTTGAAAAAATCACAAATGAATAGTGTGTTATTCGTAGACTGGTTGAAGATGTAATGGAGAAAGTCATTTTTTAAAAAATATTTTTACCAAGATTCTGCACATGTGTGGAACGAATTGTAAAACCTTTGCGCGAACGCTTTTATTGTTTTGTAAGAAATTTGGAAATGTTATCTAAATAGAAGAGATTTGTGTCGCACAGCGTGTTGAGTTCATTCCGTTTATTTATTGTCTTATTGTTATAAATAGTTAAAAAAGATCCCTCTATAATTCTTCGTTTAAATAAATTTTGTTCAAATTGTAGTATAGTCGGATTAGAAAAGTCCATATTGTGTTTTAAAGTGTATATATGGTCTGCAAGAACAGTTTTGAATTGTTTGGGGTTTTTTGAATTGTTTTTATGTTGTTGTAACCGTTTATTGAGGTTCTGGCTAGTTTCTCCTATGTAAATTAAATTGCAGTCTAAACAATTTATTTGATAGACGAGATTTCTGAGTCGTTCGATATTAAATGGGGTTTTTTGTTTTTGTAAAAATAGTGCTAGTAGTTGTACTAAAATTGGTTACAAGTCGAAGTCCAGATTTATTAAAAAGTTTTTCCAAGGAACATACAATTCTTTAATGTATGGCAAACATATTACACCAGAATGAGTTTCTGAGTCAGGTAATCGTTATGTACTGTGCAATTGTCCATTTTATTCAAAAGGTACGTTCGTCTGTTACTAGTTACGGAATTTATAAGTTTTAGGGGATAAGAGTTATCTGTTAAAATTTTGTAATTAATTTGATGTTGTTGTCCCAAAATGTTTTGTCCGATAGAAGTATTGCGTGGTTCGTTAGATTTATTATAGTACCTATTTTCATTTTGAGTGGATGATAAGAAAAGTAATTAAGGTAGCGTCCGGAATTAGTTGGTTTTTGATACCAATTTGTTATTAGTTTGTTATCTGTAGTACGTATAAGTTTTATGTCTAAGAAACTTATCGAGTTCATTGTCTCCAATTCCACTGTAAATTTTAGTTTTTTATTGACGTTATTAAATTGATCAATTATCATAGTGACATCATCACTAGGGATACAAGTGATAATGTCATCTACATAACGGTAATAAAAAATATGTTTATTGTAATTTTTAAAATTGTATTTTCAGGAGTTGTAAGGATATTTCTGCTAGAGATGGACTTGCTGGGGACCCCATTGGCGCCCCAAAAATTTGATAATAGAAAGAGCCATTGAATTCAAAATAAGTGTTAGAGACAATGAACTTGACAGTTTCCCTGAACCAGTGTAAAGATAAAGAAGTCAACGGGGAAATTTCATTCCATCGGATTGTTATTGCGTCTAAAATAAGGTCTAGGGGTACATTAGTAAAAAGTGAGACTACGTCTAAGCTAATTAGTTTGTAGTTGTCTGGTATATAATTTATCTTGTGTTTTAAGTCAGTAACGAGTTCATAAGAATTTTTTATGTAGTGTGGTGATTGTTTTGTTATTGTAGTCAAAATGTTACTTATGTATTTTGAGAGTTTATATAGGGGAGTATTAATGTCGGAAACTATTGGTCTAAAAGGTAAATTATTTTTGTGGACTTTGGGAAGGCCATAAAGTCTGGGAAAATATGGGTGTAAATTTTTCAGGTCAGAAGTTATCTCTTTTGTTAGTTGTTTGTTTGTTGTAAGTTTGTCTAAAAATTTATGGCACGTGCGGTTTATGTAGTCAGTTGGATCGTTATTGGTAATTTTGTAAGTATTAGTGTCAAGTAATAATTCAGATATTTTATTTATATAGTCTTGTTTATCTATGATAACAGTGATGTTGCCTTTATTCAATTAATTCAATTGTTTTAGTTTTTAATTTTATTTTTAGTTTCCACTGAATGAAGGCTAGGATTATAGCCGAAACGTATGGATTTAAAATAAATTTTTGAAAGAAATTCATGTTTTTTATTGATGTTATGCCCGATTATTAGACTTTGTTAATACATATGTCAACATCAAATTCAGAATCATAAAATATATATATATATATATATATATATATATAAAAATATGTATGTAATATGTCTATATATATAAATATATGTAAAGGTATATATATATATATGTATATAAATATAGAATAAATTAAATACATATATATGTATATATCTAAAAATATATATGCTAATGAAGTTCGTTCGGCGATTTGATTATCTATTGCATTTTCCGAGTTTGAGTAATTTTTTGTTCCGCAATATTGTAATGCGATATTTAAATAGAACATGTGCCTGCATGTCCCTATCCCTACGTGTTGCACAATAGAACAGTGTAAACATTGTTCCTCGAAGTCGGAGTCGGAGTCGGAGAACCTGTTGTTATGCAGACGCGTCATGAATCAATTCCAGTCTTGAAGGAACCACGTGCAGCAACAGTGCTACCGAGAGCGACTTCTTGTTCATTGATAACGAAAAAGCATCTTTAGTAATACTTAATGTGTAGGGGGAAAATAAAAGTGGTTTTTCCTTATCACATCTTACAATTAGTTCGTTTGAGAATTTTATTCTTGGATACATATTTACATGGTCGACAAAAATTGATCCCTTATTTCGAGTCATTCTGAATCGTTTCAATCAAAATTGAAAAAGGTATGTATTGTTTTAATAAAATTTGACATGACTCCAAAGATCACTAAACTAACATCTTAAAATATTATAGTTCTTCGAATTATCGTAGAATCTAAATATATTCCTTATCTATGGGCTGAATTCATTATAGTTATAAAGATATTCATTGAAATATATTAATCGAAATTGCATTGCATTTCTCGACGTTTTGAAGGTTTCTGAACATTTTGGCACACCTCAGAAAAAATAAATGTGTATGTGTGAGTGTGTTTTGTGTGTCCGCATTTTTTCGTTCACGTTTTTGGGCGCACGGATTTGAATGGTTCAATAAACATTTGATTCCTATTCATAGGGTAGGGAGATGCGCTGATTAGTTTTTGGCAAAGGCAGGTCCAGCCGTTACAAAGATACGGAGCAAAGAGTGCAGAAAATAGAAATCGAGTTTTTGAGAGAACAGAGTATCCGATATGAATTATCTGAAAAACATTTAATTTGTAATGATTGGGAGAAGATGTGATTAGCTTTTAGCAAAGGCAGGCCCAGCCATTTCTAATATACAGAGCTAAATGTGCAAAAAATGGCAGTTTTTGAGAGAACTAAGCGACCGATTTCAATGATTCAAAGAACTTTCTGCTTGTTTTAACAAAATAATTGCTTTTGGGGAAAAAATTGTTTCAATTTTTTTTTCAAAATTTTTTCTTTCAATTTTTTTTTTGTATATCGAAAATAATTCAGATTTTAATTGAAATTTTGAATATAGTTCTAATATTTAGTTACGGTATGGGAAGTTTCAGCAATATGCTTTAAGACACGATGCCATACACCCACTAGTTAAGGTTTTTTTTTACTCTATTTAGAAAATATTAATATTACAAAGCATTTCATTAAAATCGATGATTGAATCTTGCAAGTCTGCATTCTACTAGAACGTCGAATTTCGCAACCCTTGCGCTAAGGGATGAAATTTGGATAAGATAAAATCTCTCTTTTCTGTTTCCGCCTTGATCGAAGAAACATAACCAAGAAATAAATTTGTTCTATTAAAAATTAAATATTATAATAAATACTTTTTACATTTTTAGAATTATTAATAAACTCATAGTATTATAGTGTTATTACTATTTCATTGTGAACTATATATTTTATATAGATGCACTAACGTAAGTTTATAATTTGTTATGAAATGGCGCCCTCTATTATTTTATCCATTAACCTATTTAGGTGTCTCACAATCACAACCCCATCGAAGAAACCCACCAGCAATACGAACATACGAAATTTGTCGAACGTGTGTGACATTTGCCTATTTTTATTTCAAATGTTTTGAAAGGTTCGTATGTTTAAATTTAGTATTTCAGAAAAAAGTTAAATAAAAAAAAACGAAATGCCTAAAGTATTGTTGAATGAGGCCGTCACATTAGAAATTGGAGGTAACTAATTATTATGCAATGATTTATGCCGGAGCCCTAATCGTTATTGAATTACAGCTACAGATCCATGGCCCAATGACGTCCAATTATTTCAGCCTCTAGAAGTTGAACAGATTTTATTACCAGATAATGCTAATTGTCTTGCAGTTAAGGCTTATCTAAAGGTACGTCGAATTGGTATATGTTTCAGTATCATCTGTGTTTTACATTATTTATAATTCATTGCTATATGATTGTAGATGTGCAATCTGCCATATAATGTGGAGTATCGTCATAATGCAGAATTCATGTCCCCCACAGGACAAGTTCCATTTATTAAGTGTGGTGCTTTTCTTGTCCCTGAACTTGAAAATATTGTTTCTTTTGTCAATAAGAAAGATATATCTCTGACTAAAGATCTGGATCAAACCACTAAGCTGGATATGCGGGCTTATATGACCCTTGTAAACAATATTTTGTCATTTGCTGAGGTAAATATTAGAACCATATATATACTACAGTATGTAATAATAACACAGGTCTACAAAAAAATTGTTGTCTGTATTGGGTGTGTAAGATATGTTTTCTAATATAGTTTTTACCGCTGAACACGAATCTAAACTTAAAATTGGGGTTAAATGGAAAAAATGATGAAAAATAACTACCAAAAGAACACAAAATCTGATCTAGTAATTCTTCTGCATGATAATTAAAATCTTTTTCGGTCATTCGGATATTCGGTCATTTCCTTGTCTTAATTAACAATTGAGTTATCACTTAAATGATCTATTAAGTTATTTTTGTAGATTACAGAAGTAATTCAGATATTTTCAGATATTCAATTGCAGGTATATTTGCAGATTAACCATGGGCTGTGGGGAGTTAATATGTTTGGAAATTACATGAATGATAAAAAAAAAAAAACTCAACTTGAAACTCGATAGTCATTTAAGATAAAAAGGGCCAAGGAATACAGAAATTATAAGAAATGGAGAAGATGAAAGTAATTCTTCTCAGATCAGAGATTTTATCATTAAAAAAAATATTTTTTTTTTCCATTTGACCCCCAATTTTGATTATGAATTTGTGTTCAGCGATAAAAACTACATTAGAAAACATATGCCGCACACCTAATACATAATTTTTTTTTTTATGGACCTGTATTCTGTTTAATTGATAAACTTCTCATACATAATGCAACTTGAAGAAAAACATGCAGAATTTTGTTTTCTTCATTATTTTAGTTATATATTACGTGGGTTGATAAAAATACTTTGCATCAAGTGACTTACCAAAGGAATGCTTACCCGTATCCGTGGCCTCTAAGTACTTATCAAAATTATAAGAAACGAAATCAAGTAATCCGAAAGTTAAAAGCTCATGAATGGTATAACTACAGTATATCAGATGTACTGAATAAGGTAAATAGTTTGAAAACTTATTTACAATGAAATGAAACTGTATCTATATAATAAACTATTGCTTTATCACTAAATTTTGAGGTAAAAAATTATAATTATTACAGGTGGAGAAATGTTGCAGTGCTCTCAGTGAAAAGCTCGGTGATAATGATTACTTCTTTGGAAACAAGTATGTACTCTCTTTTTTTAGCATGTTTATTTTCTTTGCTTTTGAAAGAATCAAGGAAATTGTTTTTGGGTTAATTGCACCAAAGTATTAATATATAATAACTGTCACTAATAAGAATAACTCATATGAAAAATTTCAATTTAACATCTAAAGTTTGGATTTGAATATGGTAATTTTAGTTCATTTATTGGAATATCTATTTACCAGATTAGTGTTTATAATTGTGCAAAATAATTGTTTTGATCATGCAGGTGCAATATTGGCTTGTTGCATTTTTGTTGTAATTTTAAAATTTTAATTTTGCTATTGGTTTGAACTATGAATCTTAGACAAATGCTCACTGACTAATGGTGACGTAATGTAAAGAAATTGATCCAGTATAATCTTATAAATTTTCCTGATCTCGAAGCCTTTTGGATTGGTGCCCTTTTGGATAGGGGCTTGTGATATTTTGCCAGTCCTGCCACCCTATAGTTACACTACTGTTATTAGTGCTTGAAATATAGTTAAGTTGTTTTCTTGTTTTTGCTAATCTTTCAAGTGTCTTATTGGAGCCCTTATTATAAATAATTCTTATAAAATGCATTATTAGCCATTAAAATGTACATCGTTATGCTGCAACTTTACTGATGAAAATATATTTAGTAGTAGATAAATATGAAGTATTTGAAATGTTTCTTATCTAAGGATTATTGATCTAAGGGCTTGAATATGTTAATGCTAATGTAATGTTGCTTGAGCTTTATAAAATAAATGTTGGAATGTACTCAGATTAACGGAAATGGACTGCATGTTGTTTGGTCATTTCTTCGCAATAATGGTTACATCATTGCCAAATCCGGCTTCTAGTCTTTCTCGAATATTGCGCCGGCACAAGCCCCTTTTGCGTCACTGCAATCGCGTCGAGTTTCGGTGTTTTAGTCGCGAAACGGATTTATTCAATGAAGGCATTGCCGACATATACACGAATAATCGGCTCATGATGAAGCAGATTCTGACCACTCTCAGAATTAACGAGCTTGAACGGCAGAAGCGCATTGTAATTATTCAGGAAATCAAAAATAGCACGGCGGCCGCGATCGCCGATTATTTGGATGACGACGAACCGTTCGACGTGTCCAGTTCCATAGAGGCGATTTCTATGGAGGACATCAGGGAATGCACAAGCTCGACGCATTTGTTTTCTGATGTCGAAGGAGGCTCTACTGAAAAATTTCCGGATATCAATGATGCAACCGAAATTCTTTGTTAATTTTTTTGACAGTAACCTTTCTTTTTAGTTTTTAATAAATCAACAGTTTGTGATAAATAACTGTGTTTTATTGGCATGCTTTAAGATCGATACAATAAATTATAATTTCTATTAATGTTTAAACGTGATTTGTTTGTCGTGCTCGTTTGAGTAAACATTTTTCAATCTAATTACGAATAAACATGATATCAAAATTCTTCATTAATTTGTGGCTCTAGATTTAGATATTTTTTGCGCTTATTCTATATTTGTCAATATTTCTAGTCAAATATAATAAATAATTTTACAATGAGTCTATAAATAATTTGGTTCTCTTCTATTATTAGTGATTATTTATGTTAAATGTGCATTTAACATTTGCAATACTAACATAGGAAATGCTTATACCATATCTACTATTGCATAAATGAAGGATATCTAAATGAAAATTGAAATTTTAGGCCTACAGAATTAGATGCATTACTCTTTGGACACTTGTTCTGTCTAATTACAACTAGTATGCCGGAATCGTCACCTAAAATTGTCCCTATTATTTCGAAGTATAAAAATTTAACTGATTTCTGTCATAGAATTGATAGGACATATTTTCCTAGAAAGGTTTCTACATAATAAATAAGATAATGACCAATGTAAGTAAGATAATAAATATTACATTCATTTACTTGAATAACCTTCATAATTAGTAGTGTTAGTAATAAGAGTTTTATGAATAAAATTTATCTTTGCATAATAGTTTTATTCTATTTAAATAAATGAATATATCTTTCTATTTTTTTTTTTGATAAATAACATAGGAATAATAAAAATTAATATGAATGGTAGTCCATAGATTCTCGCAATCCTAAGCAGTCGACTTCGTCTATTTTTAAGGAGTTTGTTTTGATATTTATATCTTCTTCGAGTTGAATTTGAGCCCTCAGTAAGTAGCGAAGCGATGCTTGCGACTCCAGAAGCATATTCTGTGATAAAAACTATTTATTAACTTGGATTTATAGGCAGTCGATGACAATATTTAAATAATTACAGTGATTGAATATGTGAACACATTGTAACTTTTGCTTGTTGCTCATGATGTTAGCAAAATACACAAATTACTGAGAAAATAAAACCTAATTTTTAGTTATTTAACTTATTTGTTTTATGTTATTAGGACATTAATTTTTTTTATTATTTACCTGGAGTTTATGAGTATTCTCTTTAAGCTGTCGAACCTCATACATTAATTTAGCGTCTACTGGATCCTTACAAAATTCTATACCAGGTCTTTGGGCACGATTTCCCAATCTAATTGAATTATTAGTATTGTTTTAGTTCTAATTTTAAATAAATATTTAAGTAGCAAATATCATTTTACATGATACTGACTTCAATATTATATAAAATGCTATTCGCTAATTTCAATTTCAATTCTTGAAATGTATTACCTTGTATGTGCCAGTGCCAGGAAGGATTCCTTTTCATAGAGCGCTTTTTCTAAACCAGTAATATTCAGGGTCATTTCGTTCGCTTGCCGTTGCGTCTGAAAAAAAAATAATATACTTCTGATTTTACAATTATTTGTGATTGCGCATACCTCGGCATGTTTAACTTCCATTTTAGTTTTTGATTCCCTAATTTCTGATATACGTATTCGAAACGCTTCATTTACCCGATTATATTGCTCCATTAGATCGGTCGTTACCTAATGTAAAAAATATTTATTTATTTATTTTTATCATTTATTTTTAGTCATTCGATGAGATAATTATAGCTACAACATTATTATTACTACAACTAATTATCTTATGCAGTATTTTTTATCAAAGTCATAGGTCATAGCTGATATTAATTATCTTAATAGTATTGTTTAACATTAAAATTGCCTGTTTAAGTAGTGTATCCACGTAGGACCTCATTATTCTTCCGCTGTTTATTTCCTTTGCACCACGATCTATATTCTTGCAGGTGTAGTCTACGTATTCTTCATATGTTATTGTTCTAGAAAATAATATGTAAAAGGTGGTATATATATATATATATATATATATATATATATATATTATATTATATATTTTCAACAGCGCTCAGAACTACATTTTCTACGAGTTATATTTGCTATAGTAACAGATATTTTCATCTTATCGCTGCTGTATGTTTTTAAGCGAAATTTACTTGATTTTTTTATTGGATTTCAAGTGGAAATTTGCTATTATACTGCTCGATATCAATCTGGCCAAATGTTTGGATCGACCCTAGACTAGTTTGTCTTAGCCGACGTTTTCTACCGTTACACGACTAACGATAATTATTTATTATATTAGTAATATTAGTTAACCTACGCAGGATTCAAGGGCTGAGTCCCTTCGTAAATCGAGAGGGCCATGCTGTTGTTATTAAGACTTTTGTTGTATTGGTCGATTCTTAATGCCGCTGTCTTGTCCTCGTGGTCACGGTCTAAAAAGTACACAGTGGAACGAAGCCGTCGAATCTGTTCATTTGCCTAACACATGATATTTAATTATTACTTACTTACTAACATACAGAATGTAAAAAGTACGTATAAAAATGTATTAAAATAATAATGAATGGCAGGAGATTCAGATAATATATTGAAGATCCATAATAAAATTTTGAAAAAATTTAAAACGTTTAGTGGTAATATGATAGATTATCATAGTACCTCCTCCATGGTGCGTTGGAGTAAACACTGAGCACCTTGAATTACTTCAATTTCTTTTCTTAGCTCTCTTTCGACGTCGTCTTGGCAAAGATCAATTCCTAAACGACCTTCTCTAAAAGGAAAATATACAGTTTCATTATAGAACAAAAATACTCAAAACCGCCGTATATGAAGCGACAACTTTTTAAATATTAACGTGAGAATTGTTACTTGTGAATTATTCAATAACAAAATGATTCATCGGTATATTATTACCTTAGAATAATGCACTTTCGACATTGTTTGAGAGCAGTTTCGGAAAGGGCATTTAGAGCTTGAATTAAGCGATTCCTGTAAGTGGTCAGAGCTTCGATTTCGATCATACATTCCTTGCGTTCGCGTTCGACTTCTTTCTTGAAAAATTCGATGTCCTTAATTTTTTCACTTATTCGGTGATCTACTTCCTTCTTGTTTCGTTCACTGGATTCGGTCGTTTCATCTCGAATTCGATCTGATTCACTTTTAATGAAATTAAATTATTGTACATCAATTGATTTTTTTACCTTAAGCTATTATTAATAATATATAACGATAAATAAATATTACTATGTGGTTAAATATCTTAGTTCGTATTTAGTCTATTAGAACTTGCTTATGAATGAATAAATATAGATTTTTTGCCATCGTTTGCGAAAGTGTTAAATATAGGCTCTAGGGATACCTCAAGGGATTTAAATTTTAATTAATTATAATTACCTTAAAACTCTGTCGGCCAATTGTTGTTGGTCCTCCGTTCGTCGATATTTCTGCCTTACGTCAAAATACCAGTCATCTAAAGTGTACTTCGCCGGTGGTGGAGGTATTGCCTCTAAATTTTCATTCGCAAGTCCCAAAAATGCCATATTTAAGAAATACAAAAAATATAGGTTTTTAATTTATATATAAAAATGGATTTTGATATTTGTATATTTTATTAATCGTTAGGCTCGGTAGTGTTTTGTTCTGACCTAAAAATTTATACATCCTCCTTGGTATCCATGGATGCAAAATAAACACTCAAAATCAATTATTCACAATAATATCTAGAGGTTTATGATCAGCAATGATAGATATGAAGTTTCTATTTTCTCTAGAAAATCTAATTTGCTTTTATGTTTTATAAAGCCTTATAAAGTTTTATTTTTTTTTAAATTTTCAAAAGTATTTATTATTTTTTGGTAGAAAGTATTTGTATGTTTTTTATTATATATTTAATATGTTTAGTAAACAAGTATGTACTGAAATCGATGTGTGTATTATTATTCTACAACTATTTTTTATAAAAACACAAAAATTGTTTGTGCTAATAATGCATAATATATATTCTCAATCAGACCTAAAAAGCCAGATTTTATACTTTAGAGTAAGCATCAAAGAGCACCCACAAGTACATACATACTGAAAAATATACAACCGATATTGCAAAATTCAAATTATTTGTCAAATATTGAAAAGTGAAGTTGCCGAAAAACTGCAGAATAAAATTAGTTTTATTTAAGTGGAATACTAAAGTAACAATATTTTTTTCTAAATACAATTCAAGTCCCCAGAAAAAAGATGGAAATATTACTATATTCAATATCAATATCTGAATAACAGGCCGCAAATTTTTGCTTATGTGAACGGAACTATTTCCACCCGTCAGAAATGGTGAGATCATGGAAAAGGTAAATTAAATGGAAAGATCGAAACTATAAAGGCATACTTTAATATGCTTTAATATATAAATTGAGAGACAATAATTGAAAAATTCATATTTTATTATTTAAAAAAATAAACTAGACATTATAATGAACAATAAAGAGATTGCGAAATGTGATCATACAATTTCTAGAACTTTCGCTTTATGCTGCAATAATTTATTTATCTATGGTTTTACTCATTCGGCACAAACTTGCCATCCATGTCAACTTATTCTATCAATTTCTCGTGTTGCGCAATCGTTGTTTAGATTCAAACTATACGGTATCCTATAAAAGGGCCAAAATTCCTGTATTTGCCTTCATTTTCCGAGTCGGGTTCGAGGGCTAAGGACGTTAAATAGTGGCAATGCGGTCAGTATGCCTAGTATTTCTGATATTTATTGTACAACATGTTTGTCCGCGCTCCGGATTTGTGTTCGATCATAAAGAATGCCTGACATCAGAATACACGTGTGGAGATGGCGAATGTATTTCCAAGACTAGAATATGTGATGGCATTAAAGATTGCAAAGACGACTCAGATGAACATCATTGTGGTGAGTTTGAAATTTATTAATTTCAGATAAACATATGAATCTGGGCTTTTCTTTGACGATACATTTTAATCGTACGATTGTTCTAGAAATGTATCGTTGTGAAGAACCGGATTGGTACCGTTGTGCAGATGGAGAATGCATTTCATCTAGCTTTAGATGTGATAAGTCAATGGACTGCCCTTCGGGATCCGATGAACAGAATTGTGAAGGTACTTTTTTCATAAGTATTTTAAATATTTTTTATCAAAATGAGATTATTCTAATCATAGATTTTTATTGAGAATAATAAGTTTGCAGAACATCAAAAGATATAACTTATGTTATCAAATTATTCACTTCAATATTTGAACTCGATAAATAGTAAAATAATGGCAGAAGTCAAAATGTTACAATTGTAATTGTTAAATTTACATCTAATTTCAGATTTTGTTTACACACCACCCTCAACTAATCATTCATGTGAACACAATGAATGGATGTGTGCTGATAGAATGTGTATACCTCTCGAGTTTGTGTGCAATGGAGATTTTGATTGCATGGATAAATCTGATGAAGACATGGGGTGCAAGGATCAGGTATAATGCAAAGTTTCAGTTACTCTAAATTTTAAGGTTCACTAAATGAAAAATTTGTTTTACATTTTACATTTTCAGCATGCATGTGATGGATTTCGCTGTCGCAATGGACATTGCATAAGTGAAGATTGGGTTTGTGATGGCGCAATTGATTGTGCAGATGGTTCTGATGAAATAGATTGTGGTATGTTTTGTTAAAATAAAAATCTTGATAATATCAGATCAAATATCTGACAAATTGCATTGCAGATTCTAGACCTGTTACTTTTATGTGTATCTTGGAAAAAGACCACTACCCATGCCGTGATAATTCAAGTTGCATCCCAATAAATAAAGTCTGTGATAATATACCACATTGCAAAGATAAATCTGATGAAGGGGTTGGGTGCCAACAAGGTGATTTATAAAACACTTAACAATTCTTTCCTATGTTAAATAAATGAATTAATATATATTTACATATATATATATGTATGTATGTATGTATGTATATGTAAATTACTCTTACCATTTCTAGATTGCACTAGTCTATCGTGTGCCAAACACTGTGTAAAGACTCCAGAAGGCCCTCGATGTGTTTGCCCCTCTGGTTTCCATAATCCCTTAAACAGTGACTTTTCTCACATGCACAAGAATTGGCAATACAATAACAATGATAACTGCACTGACATAAACGAATGTGCTATTCATGGAATGTGCAGTCAAAGATGTGAAAATACTATTGGTTCTTACAAATGTTTGTGCGATATGAAATATACACTTTCAAGCGATAAAAAAAGCTGTAAAGTTAATGGTGAGTATATGTACATCATGCATTCATCAAACTATTTTGACTTACACTTGCTTCATATATTCAGGTGGAGAAGCCTTGCTGCTGTTCAGTTCCAGATCAAATATAAGAGGTTTATATTTAGAATCAAAAATTCTTTTCCAAGTAATCAAAAATCAAAGACAAATCATAGGTGTGGAGTATGATGGTAATCATGTGTATTGGACTGATGTTCATCTTGGAACTGAATCAATTTTACGTTCTCTAGAAGATGGCAGTCAAATGGAGGTAAAATTTGAATAACTTCAAATTTATTGCTACATACAAAAATTATAATAATTTTTGTTTAAATTCAAGGTTCTTTTAACATCTGGTTTGTCAGCACCAGAAGACTTAGCATTAGATTGGCTTACTGGAAATATTTATTTTACTGATGCTGAATTAATGCATATTGGCGTTTGTTCCAATGATGGCAAACATTGTACAATTATAGTAAATGAAAACATACACAAGCCTAGAGCAATAGCATTATATCCTGGACGAGGGTGGGTATTAATTTACTATATTAAAATAAACCATTTTTGTTTCATACTAAAATAAAACATGTTTAGTCAAATGTTCTGGTCTGACTGGGGTGATAATCCACAAATTGCCACATCTTCCATGGACGGTTCTTCACCTAAACTGTTTGTAAGCACCAATTTGCATTGGCCAAATGGTATATCAATTGATATTCCAAATAAGAGACTATACTGGGTGGATGCAAAACTGCAAACGATTGAATCCATTAATTTAGATGGAACTGATCGTCGGGTAAGCCTTAACTTTACAATATGAAGTTCGATAAATAGCTGTATATTAATCTAATCTTTTTTACAGATTGTACTTAAAGGTGTCACCAAACACCCATATGCTATTGCTATATTTGAAGATCAAATATACTGGAGTGATTGGGATTCGAAAAGTATACAATCATGCAATAAATTCACATGCAAAAACCGTGTTACAGTGGCTAAAGAATCCAAAGAATATATTTATGGTTTGTATGAAATTGACTAAAAATCAATTCAGTAATTATTTAATTACATAATTCTTAATGTATTCCAGGAATTCACATTTACCACAGCGCCCTGCAGCCCAAACATGATCATCCATGTATGAAATCGTCTTGCAGTCATTTGTGTTTAATAAAAAGTGCACATGAATACTCCTGTGCTTGTCCAGAAGGTAAAGAATTGTCAGCTGACAAAACATCTTGCAGAGGTAAGCTTTAATTAAAAACCTCATTTTTTACTAAATTTTACTTTATTTTTTTTTTTAAAACATTTTTTACATTAGAAACTCAAAGACAAAGTGAATTAATTATTGGAGCTGGAAATTTAATGGTTGGTTTGATGCATCAGAAATTAGGACGACATGAATTACATGGTGTTCCAATGAAAATTAATATGGATGTCTTAACATATAATAGCTTAAATGGTAATTTATTTTTATGGAATTATGCATTATTCATGTTTTTTTTTAAATATTTTTCTGTTCAGGTGAAATAATTGTGGCTGATAACAATAAAAAATTCATATACACTGTGGACATGTATACTACCAAATCATCTCGTCTCACTGATATTAAATCTGGTGAAGTGGAAGCCATGCATTTCGGTAAAAAAAATTATTGCATATATATAATTTATATATATATATATATATATATATATATATATATATATATGATTTAATAAAAATTTATTTACATTACAGATAATCTTGCAAACAACTTATTTTGGATTGATAGTGTTCAGCAAACGATTGAAGTACTTCATCTTGATACTGGCGTTAAAGGATTTATTTTACATGGTTTAGGAGATCAAGTACCAGTTGGATTTGCTATTGTTCCATCTCATGGGTTATTAAATTTGGAATTTAATAAAAAAAAATTGAATTTTACTAACACCTTTTAATACAATCATACATTTTTATGCAGGATTATGTTTGTTGCTTTTCGATCACACGATCATACCCATATTGATCGTATGCTACTGGATGGAAGTGGAATCCGAACCCATGTTGTGGAAGATGGTTTAGGTAGATGGGGAAAAATTTCTATGGTGTATGATCATGATCTACAACGCGTTTTCTGGGCTGTCGAAGAAACTGGCAGAATTGAAAGCTCTTCAGTTGATGGTAGGTTAATGTCCTAACTCATTTTTGCAATAATAAAACTGCTCTAACATGTACTTTAATACCTCAGGTGATGACAGACATGGCTTCAGACATACGAAAGATAAACCCATAGCAATTGCAATTTTGGGAAATGATCTATTTTGGACAACAGCAGGCAATAGACGTTTATATTGGGCAGATAAACATAATCTTGGTAATGGATTCAACAAAAAACTAACTATAGGTAATGTTTAACAAAATATTATCAATACTCACAATATGAACTTGCCAATGTTACTTGAAATGTTCTCAATTCTTTAGATATTGAGCGTAACTTGAAATCTGTACCTCTGACCGCTATAACACCACGCACCATTTCAAATCATTTGTGTATTCATGAAAATGGAGGATGCTCTCATATTTGTATTCCGATGATGCAAGGAAAGATTAGTTGTCATTGTCCAGTTGGATTATCTCTAGTGCCTCCTTACAACATGAGCTGTGAAACAATTATTCACTGTACTGGAGAACAATTCAGGTGTTCAGATACAAACAAATGTATACCTATGATTTTACGATGCAATGGAAATAAAGACTGTGATTTTGGAGAAGATGAATCTGATTGTGAACGTAAGTCAGAAATAATATACACCTATCAAAATTTACATGTTCATATTATTTCATAATCAGGTTACAAAGATCGCCAGTCCTGCGCTGTAAATGAATTTCAATGTAATGATGGTATTTGTATTGAGTATCACTACAAATGCGATAAACATTTTGATTGTCCAGACAAATCAGATGAAGAAAATTGTGAAAACTATGGTGAGTTTAAATAATTTCTTTGAAATATTTAAGATAACTATTTCACTATTATTTTAGTATCTTCTTCAAAATGTACACACGCACAATTTGAATGTGCAAATGGGCAATGTATTGATAACAGATTATTATGTGATGTCTTACCGGATTGCTTAGATGGCAGCGATGAAAAAATGTGTGATCATGTCACATGTGAATCTAACATGTTCCAGTATGTCTAATTATAGAAACTTCTCATATTCTTGTACCCATGTTATGATATGATCGTTATTTAATATAAACTTGTTCCAGATGTCAATCTGGTTCCTGCATACCATCATCATGGGAATGTGATGGAGAAATTGATTGCACAGATGCTTCTGATGAACATACCTTCTGTGGTAGATAATAACTTATCATAATAATATAAACTTTCATTGCATATAATATAAATTCCAGAGCCAAACACATGCAAAGACAATCAATTTACTTGTACTAATGGAAAATGTATTGATATGGATTTAAAATGTGATCATGAGGATGACTGTGGAGATTCAAGTGATGAAATAAGATGCCCTTCTAAAGAAAAGGAATCAACAACAGAAACTGATTTTATTGACCTTATTACATGTGAACCTACTCAATACACTTGTGAAGAAAGTGGGGCCTGTTTGCCAGAAATAGCAAGGTACACATATATTATACAATACTCGCACTAAATCTAAATATATACTAACATAATTTTTCAACTTACTTGCAGATGCAATGGTACTGCTGAATGCAAATATGGTGAAGATGAACGAGAATGTACGAACTGTCAACTTGATGAGTTTACTTGCAATTCAGGTCAATGCATACAACGCAAATGGGTTTGTGACAAAACACGGGATTGCAATGATGTTCTGATGAAACAAGTGAAAGTTGTTCTGCGGTATTTTGTTGTTGATACATTATTTTATATTTTTATGAAATTAATGATTGTAAATTTTCAGTTACAACAGTGCAACCGGTGCATTCTCAATTTCTTCCTGTGTGTGATGAAGACAGCTTTCGATGCAAGTCTGGTGGATGTGTTGATTTCTTCTTATTTGTTTGCAATGGTATTCCAGATTGTTTTGATGGATCTGATGAAAATGGTGCTTGCAGTAAGTTTGATTTATTTCATAACTAATTCACTTCATAGTTTTAAATTTATTCATTTAAATATTCATCTAATCACTTAGATACATCATGTGATGCAATTAAATGCAAACACATAAATGCAGTCCAACTCCTAATGGTCCCCAATGTTCTTGCCATGAAGGATATCACTTAGCAGGTGATCATTTATCATGTACTGATATCAATGAGTGCAAAGCGGAATTGCAACAATGTGGACAAGTATGTAAATGCTTCTTTCTCTTATCTTTCTTGGGCCTGTGTCTAATTTTATCCTCAATTTACAGATTTGCACAAACTCCGCAGGTTCTTTCCATTGCTCATGTTATCCAGAATTTATGCTAAGGTAATTAATCAATAAGTTTTATTAATTCTACTTGACTAACTTCATTGACTTTTATCTAGATCTGATAAAAGGAGCTGCAAAGCTACTGGAGATCAAATGTCCATCTTATATCCACACATCTAATCAAATTAGAGAACTAACATTATCTCCACCTTCTGTTAAAATACTATTCAATCGCAATATACAAAATTCTAAGTCTGGATGTTTCAAAGCACACAAGTACTCTATACTTCTCCTTGCATCTCATTAGTCAAATATACAGATTGGATATTAAGAGTGGTGATGTCCAATATATTATGAATATTGGAAAACCAATGAAACTTGCTGTTGACTGGACTGGATACTCAAATATTTACTTTATCAGCGAGGACGATTTACATAAAACACTGCGAGTTTGCCACATAGAGAATGCTGCATGTGCAATTCTAATGAAGTTTGATAAAATATAGCTGTACCAGAATTAGTTGTGGATCCCATTAGCAAATACATTTTCTACACAGTAACCCACTGGTGGGTGTACGATAATCCTATAACAATCCTATACAGGGCAAATCTGGATGGCAGCCATGTCATAGAACTACGTAATGAGAAATTAAACTTAATAAGTGGAATTGGTATCGATCATCATCAAAAAACAGTGTACTACTGTGATAAACACAAAAACACAATTGAATCAGTATCATACAATGGCTCTGATCATAGGATTCTTGTAAAAGAACAAAAGCTGCTCACTGCTCCAAATGGTTTAGATGTTTTGAAAACTATGCTTATACTTTAGTGTATGGATCCACACGGATGATAAAATGCCGTCTGTTTGGAAACTATGCTTGCACAGTTATTGATGCTTATATTTCCAATGCTGATTCCTTCAAAATTAGTCAATACTCTAAACAACTAACTCCTACATGAAACGCTTGTGAAATTCAAATTGTATGTATTGTGTGTTTCCTGCTGACTCTGGCCCTAAATGTATTTGCAAAATGGTCTTATGATAGCACCAGGTAGCTCCTGTGTTGATGTAAGTATATTTAAAATGAGCTGTTATAATTTTATTCAACTTACTTAAAATATGAACTCATATTTTCTAGGATATGGATGATCATCCTCAATTTGGCACTATGGCATCAAATGAACAATCCACAAGTGTTGCAGTTCCTATATTTCTATCCCTTCTTTTATTTGGTGCTGTTGCAGGAAGCATTTTTTATCTTTATAAAGAAAAAACAAGAAAATCGTGGATCGATATTTAGGTAAGTATATGTTATGTATATGTCTATGTATATGTATATATATGTGTAATATATATATATATATAATATATATATTTATATGTTATAAAACACACGATTAATGTGCACTGATTAACATATTCACTTTCAATTTTTTTTAGAGGCATACGTTTTATAACTCCCGCTTATGGGCAACAAGGCAAATTAGGGGAACGATCACCAGCCATGATACAAGTTTTAAGAACTTACAACCAGGAAAGTTGTCTGGTTTTCAAGATAATCAAGAACCTAAATTTAAGGTAAGTGTTATAGTTGTGGTTGAATCACTACTATAATGATGTTAAAATATGTTTATTATAGCACACATATCCTGATCTAAATGCTGACTCTGACTCAGATATAGAGGCTGAAAAACATCATGATAATGATACTGCAAAACTCATATATTGATTATTGTGATATTTACTTTTAAATAAGATCGTAAGCCTATCTTATTTGTCTTGTAATAGGAACTATTAATAAAGTGTTAAATGTTAAAAAAAAGCTGTTTGTCCTTATTATATACTTTTGATATTATACAATCTTATAATATATATTAATATGTTTACATATAACCTATTCATATAATATATATATATATATATATATATATATATAATATATATATATATATATATATATATATATATTGATGAGTTATTTAGAATCGGGCAGTAACACCAAGTAAAAAAACTTAAAGTAGTTTTGAAATACTTTATTTATCCATACGTATTTCGGTCTTCATCGAGACCGTCATTCAGTGGAAAAAAAATTAATTATACAAAAATACACTACACTATTACACGTGATAAACCAAGCTATTAATAACTGGAACATTTAAACTAATTATTTTTTTGACAATTTTTGATCACATTATAATGTGTACAAATTGCTAAAACGTCTAAAATACTGAATGAAATTGATTGAATTGATTTTCATTCAGTATTTAGACGTTAGCCAATTTGTACAGACTATAATGTAACCAAAAAATTTTCAAAAATAATTAGTTTAAATGTTCAAGTTATTAATAGCTTATAAATATATATATATATAAACTATAGTTATTAACTAGTTGATTGACGAAACCCCGATAACCGTTTCGTTTCGTTGACGGCAAAAC